TGCATGACAGGATGGTTTGAGGAGTTTTTGAGGTAGTATTGAATTACCCTTGAACAGCTGTGCTTGAAGGGCTTTTGTTGGGTTCGTGGTGGGGGGTGGTGTGCTTCTACTGTGATTGGCAGTCTTGAATCGAATTGAAGACGACGACAAGTGAAGAAGTAGCACTCCATTTTCATTTTCTTTCTCTTTTTTTCTTATTTTTTTTCACACACACCATTTGATAAAAGGCTTAAAATGGTTCACTAACTTTGAGTTTAGACTCAAAATAGTCCTATTTCTTTCTATTGGAGCATTAATAATCCAAGTTTGGTACATTTTCTGTCTCGATCCTTAACTACCGTGAGTTTTTCAACAGAACAAAACTTTCTGCACGTGACTTTTTCTTCAGAGCTTCTCTTTAAACAAACCAGATCATTCTCTTCCCCATTCCTTTTTCCAAAGTTTCATCATAACCTAATTTACAGATTGTTGTGTCCAAGTGAAAATTGAGGTGCTTCAGATTAGTTTTGTTGAAGAAAGACGAAAAATAGCCCCATTTTTGTGGATGAAATTGCAACTTTGGAGCATCGATTGTGGTGTGCTAATCTAATATCTCTATTAGATTCTCTTTCTTGATTAAATTTTTTATTTTGTGTGATTATAAATTCCTATTGTGTTGTAGTTTAAATATGGTTCTTCTTCTGTTGGGCATCTCTAAAGAGAGAACCTTTGGATTATTGAAGTAGTTAAGTTTGGGTTTCTGAGTTTCTGGCTTGCTGAAGTATGTACTCTTTGTCTTTGTTTTCTTTTTCCATTATTAAAGACACCCAGATACTAATTTTATGTAAAGTTTTGTTTTTTTCTGTTTCTTGATGTGTATGGAGGAAGAGGAAACTGTTATCATTTGCCTGTATTTTAGGTGACATATAGTTAGTAAACGAGGTGTATGATAAGCCAGTAAGGTACTACAAAGATTGTGTATTGGTGATACTTTTGGATATTAAAGGTTGATAACAATGACTAGGTTGTTAGATTGATTAGGAGTTGGAATAAATGTAGGAACTCATTTTCCCGTTTTGGCGGAAAGCATTGTACTCAACACATGTCATATATGCTTTCTGTGGTCCAATTCAGGTTGATAACAATGACTAGGTGTTGGATTGATTAGGAGTTGGATCAAATGTAGGAACTCATTTTCCCTTTTTGTGGAAAGCATTATACTGAACACTTGTCATATATGCTTCTCTGTGGTCCAATTCAGCAACTTGATACAAATGGTGATTGGGTTTATTTCCTCCTTCGAATTTACTGAGTTTATGCTTTATTCACTTCGAATTCTGGATTTTTTCTTCTTCACCTTCAGGATGATCCCTACTTGTATATGGTGGACTATATGGAGAGAGAAATGATAGATGTTTTGAAAATAGGGACAACAACCTGCAGGAAGTCAAGCTTAAATGTATTTTGTTGTTCTGTTTTTGGTGTATAAATGTCTACTCCAATGAGACTGAGTCAATCATAGATGTTTTAGGGTCCATCTAGTTCCTGGTTTAGCATTGGAAAGACTAATCTTTTCTTCTTTTTGTAAATATGGTTTTTCAGTACTACCTAAGTACTGACTGAAATACAAATGTTACTAGTGTCAATTTTTGGCAGATTGAATTTGGTATGCCCAAGTTTTACGTGATTCATTCTTCTCAATTCTTCCTGATTTGGATTTACCACGCCAGCATTTTCATATCTCAAGATAATGTCAGATGCTATTCCGACTCTAGGAGCTCTGGAGTGGGAGTTTCTGAAAGACTGTTGTTTGCTTAGTGATAGCAATGTTTTACATTCTTTTTTTTTTTTCTTCTGATAAGTGAGAATAGTGGGCTACACTTCAAATGCATAATCTGATGACATGCAAAAGCTCCAGGCTATTTATGTTCTCTCTCTTTTTGGCTTGAAGTCATCACCCAAAGGCACATTTGATGACTTGAAATCAGGATATATCACCTGAACTTCCTATTGAATTCAATTAAGCATGCAGGAAAACGAACCTTCTATGTCGTTATTTCTGATGCCATTTTGACAATGTCAAGCAAATGCATATCTTTTTTGTGGGAAATTCAATAGACCACAGTAAAGAAATATGTTTTTTTGAATTCAGACTTGTTTTGTTGGATAAATTTATTCTTCAAGATATTGGTTGGACCAGAATTATTCACAAACCAACCCGTGTAGATATGAACAGGTTGGGTTATGACCCCTTTTCTATTTAACTCATTTTTTACTTGTCCAAATCCAACCAACCAGCCTTTACCACCACTAATATTGGGTTTTATTTTAGTGATATTTTTCTCTTTCCTTGTTTCTTTTATATATTTATTTGTTACAAGTAATATTTTTGAATGAGCAGGTGTAAAGCAGAGAAGGAAGTAATTCAGGAAAGATGCAGAAGCTAGGCGAATTCAAGCTGCCTAACTTCTTTAATTATCCACCCTACTTCACGTAATTTGCTCCTGCCCTTATTTCCATGTCTCTATATGTATTAACACTTGGCTATAAATTTCAGTTTCTGGATTTAGTATTTGAACTTGTCTGGTCAAAATATATGGAAAACCTTTTCTTGGACGGTGTGTTGAACCTGCATTTTGACAGCAGTAGATGTCAATCAACTAGGCCTCAACCCCAATTTCCCACATCAGTGGAGGTTGGCTATATGAGTCTATCCATTCTGCTTTAGGACTAAATTTGTTATGGGTACATGATGGATGGATGTATTTGCTAATGAGGAGAAAGTAAATAGAATGATTCCTAGAGAAAGGTTCTAATCAGGGCATGGAAGCAGTCTCATTATTCGGATGACAAAATCAGTTGTTTAGTTTGGATTGCTTTCTTATTGTTGTATCTTATAACTGGAAAGTACCTAGAAGCAGTTATCCCTATGGATTTCTGATAAGCTAATGTCTGTTTTCAAGTAATCACTAAGGACTTCTTGTACCTGTTCCATTCATCTACCATCCAATCTTTTATTGGGTGGATGAAACACTTTTTCCTTTTAACGTGTAACAGGAAGCTTGTTTTTAGTTTTATGATAATTTATTTTCTTTCCCAGTTTGCAGCCTGTGAGGGAAACTAGAGAGAAGCAGATACAACTATGGAAAGAGCTCATAATTGATTTCTGTCGAACCCAAAAGATCTTTGTGATTGCGCTGGAGGTAGACTTTCCATTGTTCAGTAATGCTGCTATTGAAAGTGAGTGCTTCTTCTTATTAGTGTTTTATATATTCGACGTTCTGCCAAGGAGCTGCTTTATATATATTCCCCAAATTATTGCTTTGGGTAAAAATTCAGCAAAGTGGGTTGAAATTTATAACAACAGCTAGTGATCTTGAATGCCAGAGGAACTTAAAATAGCACTGCCTCCATTCCAGCTCATGTGATATTTAAGATGTTAATTTGACTTATATTATAATAGTGATGATCTGTTCTAAAAATATACATTATAGTAGTGATAATGGAAGAAAATATTGAAGTAATAGTTTAAAAAGTTGTGATTTCTTATCGGAAAATATTACAGAGCTATAAAATGCATATGTTATGAATTTGAATTCTTTAAAGGTCTTGAAAATTGTATAGAAATGAAATGGTGTCCACATTCTGGAATGTCCCGAAGCGAAATGAGTTTCATTTAAATTTGAAAGAAGTAACTATCTCCCTCTGGATTCTTACAAGATTGTCAAAACGAATCTGTACTGGGCATTAAGCAAGGAAGCAGAAACAAAATAGACATTCTCATGCATGCATGCACATTTGAACTGAGATGATCTAGTCCCAGCATGAAAAGGAGCATAAAATATGTTTATGCTGATTTTCTCAGTTTGTTGTTGAAATAACCAATGATACAGAGATTATCCTACAACCAGGGAAGAAAATGGATTAATTACATGTGAATCAGTAGGTTACTCATCTAATTTCCAAGGAAGTGGGATGGTTAGAGGAAAATTAATAAGAAACAGCTGCAAAACAGAAAAAGAGCAAAATGTAAATATCATTACAATTGAATGTAAAATATTTTAAAAGTTTCAGATCCATTGAGAAAATTTCTGCTATGTTACCACTTACCAAAATATTATGGAATTATATTATAGTAGCATGCCATGGAGTAATTCACGTTAGCTTATCTAGCAACAAAAGATTGACTTTAAACCACATGTACATTGCCTCCAATGAATTTCTTTTCCTCTGCAAATGTTTCCAAGGGAAGTAAGAAATTCATATAAATGATCAAACTGTTTAAATTTATGTGATTCTAAAGTTTAATGGCGTGAATTTGTAATACTTATTCCTCTGGAGCACAAGGTTACTGAAGAAATCTCTTCAGTTTTTCTATGCCATTAAGTATGCATATCTGTTCATAGAACATATCAACCAAAAGAAATTTCAATCACAATAGCATTAGGTGGTAAAGCTTGCCGGTACTGGTTGATTTTTTTTAAGAAAATGCAAAATCCTTGCGTTTTTAGCTAAAAGAAAATGTGATTATCTCTTTATGTGGTATAGCTTTACTCGGACTGGATGAAAATCTTTTGTAATCTGGAATGGTGGCAATATTAGTGTGCCACAACTGAATACAGATGATCTTTGATAGTGCAGGATCTCTGAGTCATGAAGCTAGGGAGGCATTTATCTCGGCTTTGGTTTCTGATGGTAAGTGATCTTGCCACATGAACAATATATAGGACCTTAATGAGAGTCTGTTGTACTGCAGAAGGCTAGATCTCTGACTCTGATCTACTTGACAGGTCGTGCAGAATGGATGGATAAAGGTCATAGAAAATGCCTAGTCCTATGGCATCGTATTCAAGACTGGGCAGACTTGATTGTAAACTTTGTGAGTAGTAGTACAACCTTATGATAATTGATATTTTTTCTCAATTTAGCGGTCCTAACTCAATATGCTAGTGGATTATAGAACCTGGTAGCGTTTAGGAATGGCTCTGCATTTGAGGGGACTATACCATGATTAGTTGAGTGGATATAGGATTCATTCTTGGTTACCATACTCAAACGTCATATGAAGTTGTTATACAGCAAAAGTAGAGATTAAGTAAAGGAGAAAGAGAATCATGTAGCCACCTTATGAGTTATAATCCCGATCTATGTTCCTCATGCTCTCCCTCGCTCCGCATCTACCACCTCATATAACTATCTTTGTATAGAACCATTTTCTTCTCTATGGGTTATCCATTTATAAAGGGTGGCGCTGCAAGATCGTGTTTATCATCAGTCTTCCATGACTCCTTTTCCCTTCTGCGTAGCTTCCACTTTCCTGCTTTCTTGTTCTTCTTAAATTTATCTGAAATCTCTCTCAGTTTGGTCATTTGAGTCGAATTTCTCACGGAGTGTTATCCTATAAAAGATGCAATTTTAATGTTTAGCAATTAGGTTCCCTGTTGGAAGACTGCTATATACCATATTTGGGGATGGATGCAGAAAGACATGGTGTCTGGTTTTCTTTTGAATGAAATGATGAACAGGAGTATATTCAACCTTGTCACATTGTTTTTGTGTTGGCAATCTGCTGCCATTACCGAGCCTTATCAAATTCCTTACGGAAGTATTATCTGTCTGATTAGGTGAAGGAGAATGGGCTGGAAGACAGTGTTATGACAGTTGAAGAAATACGTTCTGGGGTGGAGTCCCGTGGAACAGGTAAAATTTAGGTTTTAGAATCTACTAGATATTAGATACCACATATAGTTAAACACCCAAGCTAACATATGCAAAATATTTAATGAAAGAAAATGAAAGTATAACCAATATTGTTTTCTCCTTTTCAAAAAAATATTGGTTATTCTTTTCTTCTTTCTGCAAATATTTTGCATATATTAGCTTAGGTCTTGGCATTTCACTTTCCCTACTATGCACGAAGCATATTTTCACTGAGAAGAGTTTACGCTTTCAATTGTTCCTTTTCTAATATGATCATGTGCTTATTTCAATCTTGAACTACTCGATCATAAACATGTAATAGAAATATCAGTGGATCATTATATCAAACATTTTACGTTTAACATCTGGCAATTCTGTATGTATTTTATGGTTAGTAATGAACTCGCGTACATGGTTTTATCCTCTGACAAACTTCATGGACTTATGCTATTATCTTCTTCTTTTTCTTTGGCGTTTTGATTTTTCTAGAGCTTCATGGAATAGACCGTACAGTTCTTATGCGAGCTTTGAAGCTGCTTGAACATAAAGGGAAGCTTGCAATATTTAAGGGAACTTCAGCTGATGATGAAGGTGTCAAATTTTCTCTGTAAACCACCTTGGTAGACTATATTTATGTGTACAATGATGGAGAAAGTTCGTATCTACAAGCACGCGTATGAATTACTTTATGGAGTGAAACTGGAGATAAAATGGTTTCATGTTATGGTACAGATACCTTACTGGACTATTTTAATTCCAGGTAGAATGAACATTGAATTCTTACTTGACTACTTTTGCCTAAATGAACAGATAATATATAGACTGAAAGGCTATATATGAACAGATAAATTTGTCTCTCACTGTGTGACAACAACAACAACAACATGCCCAGTGAAATCCCACTAGGTGGGGTCTGGGGAGGGTAAAGTGTACGCAGACCTTGCCACTACCTCGTGGAGATAGAGAGGCTGTTTCCGGGAGACCCTCAGCTCAAGAACAACAAATCTAAATGACAGGAGAGATATATGTAAAATATAACAGCCAATACAAAAGAGAGCGTATAATCAACAGATGAGACAATAACAACAAGAAAGTAATGCGATGCATGAAACGCAGTAAACAACAAAAGGCTAGGTCTACTCCAAACGCTAACAACCCATACCTTTGCAAGGGAAGACAACACGCTAACCCTACTAACCTTCAACCTTAATACGCGACCTCCACTCCTTCTTATCTAGAGTCATGTCCTCGGTAATGTGAAGCATAGCCAAGTCTCGTCTAATCACCTCCTCCCAATACTTCTTGGGCCTACCTCTACCCCTCCGCGTACCCTCTACCACCATTACCTCGCACCTCCTCACTGGGGCGTCTACGCTCCGCCTTTTTACATGTCCAAACCATCTCAGTCTCGCTTCCCTCAGCTTGTCCATAGGGGGGAAAATCAGAATAAACTACTTAATATGTGGTTTGGGCTACTTTTGCCTTTCCAGATTGGAAAACGTGTGCATGTGTTAATCTAGGATGAGATTTGCTTATATATGTGTCATAACTTAGCCTTTTTTTGGGAAAAGAAGAAAAAAACGAAAATTTCTTAAGGTGAAAATTGTACTTTTAGACATCTTCCACTAGAGACGCTAAAAGATCTTGGAAAATCGCTGCTGCAGAAAGATGATAGTTTTGGTTTGTGCGCACTTTCCCTGAATTTTTTTGGGGAGTGATGATTTTCTCCCTTCTTCTTGGTCATGAGCTATCCTTTACTGTGGAGGGAAAAGCTTTTTGAGAGTGACCATTTGATTTGGGAAGGACTTATGGGACTCTTTTGCTTGACAATACATATCTATTGCTCTCTTAGATATCTGTAGTGAGTCAGAGAGACATTTTATTTCTCAGATAATCATAAATGTTTGTGTTGTAGATTGCTCCAACTAATTATAGGGGATCCCTGGGGACGTAGTGTCAGAAAGAATTAGTATATTATTATGAGCGAGATAGGAGAGAGACAAGTGAGCAAAGATGGGAGTGGATACTGAATGCATATATTTTTTTATACCAGATAGATTCTGAAATACAGATATATATGGAGAGAGGCAAGCAAGAGAGAGAGAGTGGTAAGCAAAAGAAGAGAGAAGCAAGCGAGAGAGTCAGTATTTCCCCGATACATGTAAATCACTCTTGAATGCAATGTAGTTGGAACAAATTACACTTAATTTGACCTGCATGTATCAGAAATACATGTATTTGGGTGCGGCAGATACATGTATTTGGAGAAGAAAAAGTGGTACAAGAGGCAATTTTCTAAACTAATGTGAGCAACCATAATTAAGACCTAAACTAATAAAATTTGTGTTGTTTGCTCAAATTCTATTTCTTGCAATTATCTAGTCACTGCTGTTTTTCTTGTGATTAGATCTATCCTATAATCTAACACAAATGCACAATATTTAAAATAATGAATCTAATTATGAATTTTATGATTTATTTTTATTTTTAATTAAACAATATTAAAGTTAGTAAATGACATGAAAAACCTTCAGATATTTTATATATAAAAAAAATAAGAGAGAGAGAATTATTGGTTACTTTTCAATAAAATAAAATATTTTAAAAATTTTAAAATTAAATTATTCAAATCTTTAAATTCGTAAAAAAATCTTTACAACAAGATCCAAGGCAATACATTATAAATGAATGGATAACATCTTATTGGTAACTTGAATTATCTAATATCTATATAAACTATAATATTATTATGTAAAATTAAAAAATTATATTTTGTAAAAACACTACACTAAATAACTATAATAAAAAAGTCACTTTAAAGCGATTCTCAAATTCACTTAAATATAGATGAAATGTATAATTGCTATCTGCTCTACTTTGTGTCACTATAAAATCTATGAAAGTATTAGTGTGAACGACAGCAATGGCAGTCAAGTAGGCCATCAAGATGAGATTGAAAACCTTAACGATGTCAACGAGCCTAATGTTAATTAGGCCATCTAATGAGTGATATTGGTGCCATTCGCTTGCCTCCGGTCGAAGGGAATGCGATGTTCCACATCACAAGTACTATGTTGCAACTTTTGCAATTGAAGGGGCTGTTCGGAGGTTTGGCTTATGAGGATCTCATGAGCATATTAGAAACTTTGTGGATGTTTGCGAACAGTTCTCCTTCAAGAACATTTCCCAAAAGTCGGTTCGATTGAGGTTGTTCTCGGTCTCTTTAATGGGAGAGGCATGTAAATGGTTAGCTGAATTGCCACGTAAATCATTCACTTCATGGAAGGAGTTAATCACCGCATTTTAAGTGCGATTTTTTCCTCCTTCAAAGATGATGACTCTTCGGGATAGCATTCAGAGCTTCAAGCGTCTAGAAGGCGAGCCAATTTATGAAACTTGGCTGCGATTTAAGAAGTTGGTGCTTCAATGCTCAACTCATGGCTTGCCTGACACCGTGTTGCTGCAGTATTGACTTGGGAAATAAGGGTGTTGCTGACCAACTTTCTCGTGGAGGTTTGATGCAGCAACCTTATGTGATAACAACTCAGCTCTTGGATAGCATGACTATCATAAACCGGGCGTGGTATACCCGTGAAGACCAGGTCTCTCCTCTCACGTTTAAACTGACCAAAGAGCAATAGATGGAGAGAGACCAAGAGAGAAACCAGAACATGGCCAAGATCATGACACCAAGATCATGACACAACTTACATTTTGTCTAAAAATGCCATGCAGGTGCTTGGGGTGTCAATGCCGTGGGAGTCGGGTGTGCTAATCCGGATGAGGCAAGGTTTGAGGCTTTATATAATGAAGAGGTGAATTTCCTAGCCAACCAAGGTGGTGGTTATCACTTAAATACAGATAAAAAGTATAATTGGTATCTGCTCTACTTTGTGTCACTATAAAATCTATTAAATTAATATGAGAAAATGATCAAAATGGTCCTTAATGTATTGGGGTTACTTTATTTTGGTCCTTAATATACTCTAGGTAATTGAAATAGTCCTTCATGTATAACAAAATGTGTTCAATTTAGTCTTTTACCCTAAACTTAACAATTTAGCCCCAAAAACTGTTAAATATAACTGTGGGACCCACATAACTTACAAAATCCACCATTTTTACCATCTTTATTAGCTCAAAGAAAAAGTTTCATGAATTCTAACACCATTTTCTCTAACATCTAACCACACAATTCACAAAATAATTATTGTAAAAAGGTTGAATGAAATGGATCGTTAAGAATTTGATTTGTCGGTAGAACGTAACCAAGATAGAAAATTAAGAGTGTTGCTGCTGGTACTAGTATTCTTGGATATTACTAAAGAATGATTATCTAACCACTCATATTATAACACGAGTGCTGCTACTGGTACTAGTATTCTTGGATATTACTAGTGCTTCTCAAGAATAATTATCTAACCACTCATATTATAACTTGAGTGCTGCTACTGGTAAGAGTATTCTTGGATTATGCGCAAAGAAAGGTCAATGTGTGGGATGGTGGGGATTTTTGGTGGGTAATCTAGAACAAGTTTTACTTTGTGAATTGGAGTTCTTGAATTTCATGTTATTGGGACTATTGCTGTGAATTTTTGTATCGTCCTTGTTTGGTTGTTGATAAGTGGGTTCTACTAGATTTATTTTTTGATATTTCTGATTGAAGTGGCTATGTAACTTGTGTATTCATTCCTAATGTGGCTCTGCGATTGATGAACGGGACAAGATTTAGTGTGTGAGTTTGGGTTCTTCTTTGTGCGAAGTTATGCTATGTTGTGCTTGGTTTTGTCTTGTGATTGTAAATGCTAATATGACTGGTATTACATTTGTTCTTGATAAAATAGTGTTAGATTTTGAAGTAATAAATTAAGAAGAATTTTGAAGTAATAAATTAAGAAGAGAAAAATAGTGGATTTGTAAGTTATGTGGGCCCACCGTTATATTTAACATTTTTTGGGACAAATTTGTTAAGTTTAGGGTAAAGGATCAAATTGATCACATTTTGTCATACATGAAGGACTATTTTAATCACCTAGAATATATTAAGGACCAAAATAAAGCAATCCCTATAGATGAAGAATCATTTTGATCATTTTAATACAATCAGCTCCTTTTTATAGAAATATCTTATATTTATTCTTTTTTTTTTTAACTTTTATTTTGTATTTTTTCTTTTAGGGAAAAAATAAATCTAATTAGATAAATATGATTCTCGTAAGAATGTCTCCAAAAACATATAAAAAAAACAATTGGAGGCTAGTTAAAATTAAGTTATTTATAATGATAAAATAAGCTATATTAATGTATATAGAGATTTTTATTGCCTAAGTCAACCTGCTCCGCAAAATTTGGCACTTCCATAGCAAAACCAAGAGGCTGACTCCAACAAAATTGTCACCAACTCTCTCATAGATCTTAAGAAATTGCATTAAGATCAGAATATCAATTAATAAAGATTGTTTTTTTTTCCTTAACATTTAAATGTACAAAATTTATGTTTTTTAAAATAAAAATAAAAATATATAATTTAAATAAAATCCTAAATTGATATGATATTATATTAATAGAATTTTTTAAAATTTTATATGAAAATTGTGAATGGTGACGACTAAAGATGGTGATAATCTGTGTCAATTTGGGATGGTGTCGAGTGTTCACTGATGATGGTTGTGGAGGGCATCTTATGACATAATGATTGACAATAGTGATTAATTATGGTTGTTAGTGGTGACTGATAATTAATAGTGCAATGATAGTAATAGTTAATGATCCTAACAAATGATGATGG